TGAACGTATGCGTTTGGATAGAGGCCACATCGGGTATCTCTTTCCAAAAATATTTGGGATAGCGGATTGATTGTACGCATTCATTGAAGAATTCTAACTCCACTCTGGACTCTTCCAAACGAGTACTGAACTTCAAATACTCATTCAAAAGCTTTAATGAATCACGGGTAACTCTGCTCTTCAGCAAAGCAAATTTCCCCATTTGCGTGATCAAATCAAGACCAATAGAGTGCTGGGTTAAGAATTCTCTTAATGTAAACTCATTGGACTCTATGCGAGTTTCCACGTAAAGAACTCTTAACCTACCACTCAATTGGTCTTAATTTGCTCGCTCAAGTGGGGATATTTGCTTTGCTGAAGATCAGCATTACCCGTGCTTTAACTGTTAATAGCTTTAACTCAACTTTTGCTGTGCATTTTATATTCTTTCATGTAACACCTGCTCATTGTGTGTCAATGCTTAAGTGTATTTGAATGAGCTGCCCTAACTGATCAGAGTAGTTGCAATTCCACGATATCTTCCCCACAGAGTTAACTGTTGCCACTGAGTGGCTGTGTGCATCCCACTCCGGCTGCTCCTCGGGGACTTCGCTGCTGACGAAATGTAATAGAAACACTGACTTTTATTCTCTACTTCTGGGACGGTGTTTGTTGTATGATGTAGCTGATTCATGCCATCAGTCCATTCGAAACGCGCCTGTTAGTTGTCCCAATATCAAAGCCGCATATTTCGAAGGCGCTTTTTACGATGTGCCCATCGCTTAATCCTCCATAACAAATCCAGTGTTCTACAACGCCACACCACGAAGCGTTGGTTACTTCTTTTACTTTGCTGATGTGCTTGTGGTTTCACATTTCTTTCAATACGCGTGAACTAGCGTGGCCGCTTTGGATATTTTATCTTGCAACTTCATGTTTGGTATCTTTCGTACTTCCTCTAGTTTGGACATCTTGCCTTACGAAACATGACCCACCTTGGTCTCTATGGTGATATCCTCTGATTGTCATATCTTCATTCTTTGTGTGTGCGCGAGGCATAGTTTGCATACTCATATTGATTACCTTCGTGGTCGGTGCAACGTCTCTGTCCACTGCCCACCAAAGTGATTTCCCTTTTGTCACACGAAAATACCATCAACTCAAGTGACACACTGAATCTTAAAGTCACCAACCAATCAGTTCCCCAGGTCTCCTCGTCGTACATTGTTTGTCCCGACACCATTTTATTGCCTCACACTTTCTCTTGTGTTCTCTTGTGCTTTCCACCGCAGCTTATGTGTGCATATCATCACCAGTCACAGCATGACGGACATCTCTCTAACTACTCATTCGGTTCCGTGCTCTGCGTTCGAGAGCTCAACATCACGAGAACACTCACCTGTCCTAATTGCAATGGATGCTTTGAAAATCAGGGCACCTTTGTGGACCACTGGATTGAGAGGAATTTCTGCTGCTCCTCCCCTTTCCTCCCACTTCGGTCGGATAAAGATTCCAAGCTGTCTGTTCGAATTGTGCAGGTTTATTGCAACACTTGTCGTGCTTCCTTCGATCGTGTCACCCCACCTGCAGCTCTGGATGCATCGAATTACGGGGCCAGCATTCGGAATCGCAAGCGGCGTCATTCAGACGAGACCGCTCTTTCTAGCCGTCCACAACAGTCGGCCTCTGATGTTGACCTTGACAACGGATTGGACGCCCTGGTTTCTTGGGCCGATAGTTTTGCTCGGTTTTGTGTCAACCACGCGTGCGTACACTTGGCTGGTGGGAGGGTGGACGATCGCATTGGTTGTAAATTGCACATTCGCATTGTCCAGGTGGACAAAAACGCTACCAAAACACTGCCTCCTTACTCTCACGAATCTGATCTCGCTTTACTCCTCTTCTGCATTCATGAGTGCAAACGTTTAGTGACACATTTGCAGCACATGCACGGAACGCGCCGCTCACTTCAGCGCCGCACCAAAGGGGATCTGAAACGATTATTGACACTCGCCGAGACGTATGGGGCGTAACATCATTCGTATGACACTTTCTTCCCACCCTGTTCTCCCCTTTTCCAACAGTTGCACTTTCCTGTACCTTTTAATGTTTCACTGCTTACTCCTATACATTTCACCTATCTGGTTCCTACAGCCTTCCGAACTGCTGTTTTCCTGTCGCCTTTCGTAGATCTTAGGAATTCGGTGGGGCGAATGTGCTGCTCGCTTAGAAATGGTAAACGTGTCTGCTCCCGGTTTTCAATGAGTGAATTCGTCTCCTAAGTAATGAAGCCTGGCTGTTTCACGCGAACAATTCGCTATTTCACAACTTGGCGCCTACACTATTAACATCCACGTTGACTCATCGGTCGGTAATCACAGTTTTCTGCCCTAATGAATGCATTCTGGAAGTCGAATATATTCCTTGACGTTCACCATCCAAACAACCCTCGTATCTGAGCTTAAGTGGATTCATATTTTGGCGAGCCGACTTCCTTGTTGTCACCGTTGATTGGCTAACTGAAGGTATTCCTCTACTGTTTGTACTGTCGTGTGCGTAACCTGGTGGATATTTCCTGTCTGATCGGCAGCATATTTCATATTCTTAGCTCAGGCCCGCTCATACCAAACATTTTAATAGTATGGCAAACGCGGACTCGACTTCTCCCTCATAGCTGGTCGAGGAGAGATCGACGGTTCCTTTTCCAGACAGCAGCTTACGGGCTGTATAATCATCTATGTTACATACTGCACACGGAGTGGACTGATACTGCTTTTCATGTCAGCATACAACCTACGGGGGGCCTTTAATTCGGCCGTTGTCTTACATCATCTACTGTAGACACATCATATTTTCCAAGAATAAGTTGGCAGATACTTTGTTAAATCAAAGTCCAAGGTCACTGAGACCAAGCTACTCTCTCCGTCTTCTGAATATAAACGTTGAACTACCGCGCACGATTCTCAATCTTTGGACACAAAATTTTACCTCAACTGTAACGGTTACTGAACAAACGTTTTAGTGGAGATTTGCTTTTCTGTGGACGCGAATCCCGATGATATGGTGCAGCGTTATGCGATTGTTGCTAGCTGGATTTGTGACCTCGCCGTTCTCATTTTATACCCGCTTTTGATGGTGCCCGTGTAGTATTTTTACACTTGTTAGTGTAAAGTGCTGAAAACGCACCCCCCCCCTATTTGTGTACATGAAGCTTACTTTGACTACGTCCCGCTGCGTAGCCTGAGCTGCACAGCATATCCACTTCGACAACACAATACCATTACAAGTATAAAAACCCAATCAGATCTCTCGCATCCAAGGTGGATAGGGTCTGTGCAACTGATATCGTTAACGACGAACTATTGAAACGCATCGACAAGCCAAGGAAAAATGGGTGTTTGCACTAAGAAAACGTTGGATGTTACCTGTTTGCAGCATCATCACACTTCACAGCCGACCTCCACTTGTTCGCACTAATAAGGTGAAGATAGCAGGACTGCCATTCGAACCCGGCATCTTTGGGATGTTAGATGAAACTTCCACTCGTAACTCACCGAGTCGTATCGGACAACGTAGATATGAACTACCTAGTGTAAAGGTTTTAGAAAGCCTTATTCGCGAGTACACATTTAGAGGGAAATTAGGCCATTGATATTTTGATCCAATACCTTGCAGACCCTGTTAGGATAATTTGATCTCGCTTGAGAACAGCGTGTCACAGTAAAACTCTATCTGTCCAATTTTTGTAGGTTAGACTGCTCATCTTTAATGTATGTATACAAGTGTTCGTACGCAATATGTGGCCATTGGTCGTAACCCTAGGTAGCCATCATGAAAAGTTCACCAGCGATGAAGTGGAATCTCACCAAACTTACATTAAGTCGCACCGAAATTTAGTAAGATGACAGCATCGGGAAATTAATTCGACTGCAACCAAATCATCTCACCTAAACAGTCACATAAACCGCAAGAGTCTTTTGAAAACGGCTGGGCAGAAAAGATGAAAACTGTGCAGCAACACCGGAGTGATGAGCAATAGGTATAACCGTAAAAACATAAATCTGGATGGGGCGCAGAAGAAATCACACTTGGTTGCACGGTAACGCGAAAACAATGCAGTCCGAAGGCGACCTGGTTTGTGCTTCGAAATGAGAGCTAGGTGAATTAGTGCATCCTGCTCTTAGCTCCCAACTCGTGCAACCCAATGTATATCCAATCAGAGCTCTCAATACCACAAGGTGTGCTGTACTTCGTTTGTGTGGGGCATTTCACACGGTAACAGCGAGGATGGTAAAAAAACTGTACCAACAGGCGGGGTGATTGATGACATCTATCAGCAAGGATGCTGTCTGTGCATCTCAACGCCAGTGTATTCAGGTGAGTGCCACCCTCTTCACTGTAAACAGCTGATGATAATACGAAAAATGGCTAAATTCAGTTTCTCCTGTTGAAATGTGCTGCTTTTTTACTCTTTTGCTATTTACCTATTCATTGGTCACACTACTTTGTGATGAGTGCTATCTCCCTGAGCCCACTGTCATCTTTCTCGAAATATACGTAGTAGTACGGTAGCGAGAACAAGGCTGTCTGGACGCATAGTCTTTATTACCAAAGAACAATAGGTTCACTGGATAGCTCGCACGCGCGCACACAAAGAGGGCATTTCCACCCCACCACATACTGTCCTTTCACTTGGCGTCACATTCATACCCCTATTTCAGTTCATCCGCGAAGTCCCTTTTCACCGATTTCCCCTCGTATCTTCGCTTCCGCTCCTCGTATTCTGACCCGGCTGGATTCGTTCTAATGTTCTTGATTTTCTTACTCGGGTTTGCGTCGCTCTTCTTGGCATTTTTCCTGGAGGCGGACCAAAGGCGCATCTCTCCGGAATATCGACCTTTCCACCACTACGCTCCCCGCTGTTCTTAGCCAGAGCCTGATATTGTTGGTCGCTCGTGGACCGTTTTTGGCTTGTTCCATTGGCCTCGAGCTGATTTGTCGACTTTCGTTCCTTGTGTCTTCATTACTATTTTTGTCCCTTAGTTTCCGCGGCTTGTCTGTCCACCTGTGATTCTTGCCTTCCGCGCCACTATAGTTCTTCATTGTGTTACCCTTCTGCTCTGTTTCAACGCAATCATGAAGTAATAAGGGCTACGCTATCAAAGCTGGAAAAGAAGGGAGTGGCGGGGGCAACAATCCTAGGCTTAAATACTCAACGCCACACGATCACATGTCGCTAGGTTGGAATTGATGTAGTAGCTCTCTGTGGCTTTCGCTGCTCCGCATCATGTTCAACCCTGTTTCAGATTGAACGGCATCAGACGCACTCTTAATATGCATTCCGACTGAGGTGACACCCCTGATGCCAGCTGCGAGCCATGTCAAGCATCGAGTTGGTCGTGGATTCTATCATGGAGTGTTCCCTTGCGGAATCTCACGATGTAGGTGTTGGAGTGCTGCCTGGTGAACGGTTAGTTGATCTAGATTATGCGGACGATATCGTCTTGCTTTTCGACAATGTTGAGGCGGCACAATCAACCCTGAATAGCCTATCCAGAGTGGTCCCATTATTTGGTATGCACTTCGCACCTTCAAAGTGCAAAGTGTTGCTGCAGGACCACCAGCCACTCGATGACCCCTTGACGCTTGCAAACGAGAAACTCGATGTGGTTGATCAATTCACTTATCTTGGCAGCTGCATCAGCAATGATGGGCGCATAGAAACTGACGTTAGCTCACGCATTGCAAAGGCCAGAGCTGCCTACTTGAACCTGCGTCATCTTTGGCGACAGAATGGAGTTTCCCTCCGTCTGAAAGGCCGGGTATACAAGGCCACAGTGAAGGCCGTTCTGCTCTATGGTAGTGAAACTTGGCCCCTTCGGTCTGAAGATCTGAGGCGCCTTCAAGTCTTTGATCATCGTTGTTTGCGAAGCATTGGTGGTGTCGGATGGGACCAGTGTGTCCGCAACGATGATGTGCGTAGGCGAGTACTAGGTGGTGATGATCATGCTTGCTCCCTAGAACAACAGATAGCACTGAATAAGTTACGTTGGCTCGGGCACGTGCTACGCATGCCTGGTCACCGCTTACCTAGGAGGGCCTTGTTCAGTCTACCAGGTGTCGGATGGCGCAAGGCTCGAGGTGGACAGAAGTTGACTTGGCAGCGGGAAATGAAGTCACTGACGACCAAACTGGGTGCCGTTGGTCCGTCTCGCCTTCCGGGTTGGAGTCCACGTGACTCACCTTGTGCTTGGCTCGAGACTTTACAGGACATGGCTCGCAACCGACACCAGTGGCGCGTCTGCTGCCGTCTCCTAATCGGATTGTCTGTTTAAAGTGTGTTTGGTGCTGAGTTATCTGCGGGGTAATGGCTGATTATGACGCGTGGCAGTGAAAGCCGCAATGAAGCTGTCTCGCCGATGCCGCCTTATCTTTGCACGATAGTCAGCTGTTTGTGACGGTATGTTGTTAACACAAGGTGTAGGCGCCTTGACCCTGAATGTTTGCTTAGGGCATTAAGGTTTTCAGGTAAGTCCCCCTTCTCTCCCTCTTCTTATTCTTTATTTCATAGGTCCTCATGGTTGTATGGCAGCGAAGCATCAGTTCAAATGGCTGATGTACTGCTGTTGATGATGATGATGATCCTGAAAGACGAAAATAACCCTACCAGGTCATCGACTGCTCCCTTCGAATATGACTCTAGTCAACATGCAGCTCTTGGCAAGCAACGTCATCATCATCATCATTATACATGTTAGCTAGAAGTGGCAAACACCTCGGCTACTGTGCCGCAATACCTAAAGTAGGTAAATAATGCGACAGATGCATTTCAGCTGAGCTACCAACAACAGATGTGCATCGTTCCCGAAAACTACGAGCCGGTTATTATGCGGCAAAAATATTATGTAAAATTATGCTAAGAAATTAGATCGTGCTTGGAGGGGGGCTACAAGGGAAAGGGAGGGACAATGAAACTTACAACACGAATGCCTTTGAGGTCGCCTCCTAGCCATGTCAGTGAGTGCATCCAGCCAAACGCGTTCATCGTTTTACTGAACCCAACCAGGGATCCGAGACGCTCCAACCGAGGCCAGCATCGAAGTGAGGGCTTTCATTCCTCTCGACCAAGTCATCGCTTGGCCACCTTTCCTCTTCTTCCAATCACATCCCTGGCGTGCAAACAACGCACGTCGCGGAAGTCGGTGGGTTGGGATGCGCAACACGTAGCCGAACCATCGAATCGTGATGCGCGAAATGACGGTGCTGAGCGGTTCAGTTCCTTTTCCTGTGCCATAAGCAAGGCGTCGAACAGGCTTGTTGCTCACGCGGTGTCCCCACCAGATGAGCCAAACTGCGAAGTCACCGGTGGTCAAAAGTAGCTAATCTCTTTGTTGGCGGATCTAAGGGGCCAGGTTTCACAACGGTACAGTAGAGTCGAACGTATCGCTGCATTGTACGCTTTACTCTT